GGGAGAGCTCCAGGCCGCAGAGTCTGAGCAGGCCGCCATCTTTACCACTACCTTACACCTCACAACCTACAGAAAGTACCGCAGCACTTCCACAACACACACACACATCAAAGACCACACACCCTCACAGAATACTCCAAAGGGACAATAAACCACAAACACAGAAGTGGGCGTGTCTGTGTGTAAGGACTAATGTGTATCCACATCCAGGTCCAGATAGGGTCACTTCTGGTTCCAAAGAACCATTGTAGTATTTGCAAAATGCCAACATTGGTGCTCACTGGTTGGCTTCAGTGTTCATACACTTCTTTTATACAGAGTGGAAAACTGAAGAAAACTGTAGTTAGTGTGTTTCGCTCAGCAGCAGGTACAGAAACCCACATGAAAACTTGAAACAGAAGCTTGCTGCTTCTATTGTTTCATGTGCTTTAGCTTGAAAGACGGTCAAAAAATTCCACTGTGGTTGTAAAGTAATACCCTCATAATGAAGGGCCAATCAGATTGCCTGTGATTGTTCCCTCCTACTTTATATGGTTCTATGAAGGAGAAGCAGCTTCTCATACGAGTTCATTCTACTGCTGTATTAAGTGGACGAAGGAGAAAATGAAGTCTGTTCTTGTTTTTCTACTGACGCTCACACTTGCTCGTAAGTTTATGTCCAATCTTCTCGTCTAATTCTGATCTTTTAAGGAATTAATATGTTTTATTTTTAGCACAGAGCATACATGATCTTTCTCTGTTGTTAAACACTGACATATATTTATTTTCTTCAGGATGCACCATCTATGAGAACTTTGAGACAAAGACTGTTGGTGTTGGAGATGATGTGACTCTGACGTGTCCTCGTGATGCTTCTTGGTATTCAACACAATTATTCTGGCTCCGGCTCGTTTCTGGTGATTTGCCTGAGGTTTTGGGAGGAACCAATGCCATTGATTCTGACCATGTTGAAGAAACTCCTGGATTCACAGCAAAAAAAGAGCCTGGAACGTTTGTGGTGATTATTAATAGAGTAAAAGTCGGAGACACTGGACTTTACTTTTGTGTGAAACGAGAGAGTATTAAAATGACAGTTTTAAAAGGAACATTTCTGCAGATTAAAGGTAAATAAAATGCACTTCAACTCCTTTAAAATAATACCTAACACCATTTATGAGAGCAGTCAACCAAATGTCCCCTGAATAAGGAAAAAACATAGAGCATACTTTCTAGGATTTTTTTCTCTTAATTCTAAACTGCAGCTACTTTGAATATTTTAAACAAATCCAGCATATTTACTTTGTGTTGAATTTATTCAGGACCAGAGCCCAGTATCACCTCAGTCGTTCAAGACATTTCACAGGATCCAGTCCACCCAGGAGACCTGATGACTCTGCAGTGTTCTGTTCTCTCTGAGTCTGAAAAACAACACATGTCCAGGGAAACACAGAGTGTTCTGGTTCAGAGCCGGATCAGATGAAAATCATCCCAGTGTCATTTACACTCATGGAAACAGATCTGGAGGATGTGAGGAGAGTCCAGAGGCTCACTCTCCACAGAAATGTGTCTACAGCTTCTCAAAGACCGTCAACTCCTCCGACGCCTCGACTTATTTCTGTGCTGTGGCCGCATGTGGAGAGATATTGTTTGGAAAAGGGACAAAGATTGACATCAAAGGTAACTGCAGAGCATTCAATATGAATCATTCTTTAACATTCATTTTCAAACAATTGAATCCACCTGGAAGATTTTAGTGAAACATCTTAACACAATATGTTTTTATATGTTTTCAGGAGCCGACAATCAGACGGCCGTAATAGCTCTGTTTCTGTAACTGCACATATTTGGAGATGTGCAAAAGTAGATGTTGAAGGTCAAACGTTTTTTATGCTAAGAATCTGCAGATTAAAGTGTGAAATGATGGTCTCATTGCAGATTGGTATGATCTCAACACATATATTTATCATAAAACACATCCTTTATAAAATATGCCGATGACTCCGTTGTTGTATGTCTGCTTCAAGAGAATGAGACGAGCCACGGCCCGGTAAATGACCAGTTTGTACCAGGTGTGAGGAGTCTTACCTCCAGCTGAACATATCTCAAACTCAACATATGATTATTGATTTTAGAAAGAAAACTCAAGTGAACGATGCCACTATTCAAAGGTCAGAATATTGAGTAAGTGCAATCTTATAAAAACATTGGGACCATCATTGATTTGAATTTTAACTTTGAAGCTAACGTTTGTAAAAAGTCTAAACAGTGTTTGTGTCTGTAGGAAACTGTCGTACTTTCATGAACCATAATGATGATGTTTTATCATGCTGTTATTGGATCAGTCTTGTCTTGTTCTTTGGTGTCATGGTTTCAGTCAAACCTGCACCTCAGTGCTCTGTACCTCCGTTCTGAGGTATGTGGGGTGAGTCTGATTGGTGAGTCTCAGCTCTACCTGGCGTCTCTGAGACAGTTGCAGAGGATAGCTACCTCGATTATAAACGATGATTCTCGTCCTTTGCTCAGTGATTTTCAGCTTCTCCCCGGACGGAGGATTTTAGTCCCAACGTGCAGAACACAGCGGTACAAAAACAGCTTTGTTCCTGCTGCTATCACAGAAGTGAACAAGCTGTAGCCATATTTGCAAAACATTTTTTTTTCATGTCAAAAACTTATTTTTACCCTGCCTGAAGAGATCATTTTTGTTTTTGATATTATTGGTTGATATCTCTCTCCCTTATGCTTCTTATTGTGAGAACATTGAGCACTTTTATAATTATTTGGGGTTTTTATGATGTTTTAGTCGTTTATATATAGTTCCCCTTTCTCTAATGTGTTGTTCATTGTTACATCTGTTCTGTAATCTGTGTGTTATCTTGCTGGCTGCAAACAAACCTACTTAAGGTACAAATAAACGCACTGAACCTGAACTGTAATCACATTATATTAATAATTAAATCATTCTTTTTTATTTTCATTCTTGTCTAGAACGAACAGCAAGTTTTGAATTGATCGGGCTGGTCATAGCGATACTCTGCTTGGTGATTTCTCTGATTGGAAATGTTTCTCTCATTTGCTTCCAAACTCCGAGAGAAGAAAGTGAACAATCTAAAGGTTAGTGACGATGACCCGTTCTAAAAGCATTATACAATTTCATGTAACAACGTGTTCTCAGAAGGAGGAAGACACTTTTCTGCCGGGTTATAATCTTCCTAACAGCTGTGGTTGTTGGCTCAAGTAATGAGACGAACTCGTTCTCTAAGCAGCAAAAAATCATCAAACCTTCTTCATCTTTCATTTTAACTCTGCATGTATTTTCTGTTTCATTATCCAGCTGCTGTCGTCCTGCAATTAAACAGCGAGAGGGTGAAAAATCAACAGGTAAATCATTTAAAGATGTTCATGTTGTCCTTATGTTTTTGTCCATTTAACAGCTCATGTCTATCTTTGCCCAGATTGATGAGGAGACTAAAGTTTACTCTGCTGTGGTCTTCACCATGAGGAAAGCTGACCGTGGTGCAGTGAAGGATGCAAAAGTAGCGCAGAGGAAAAGGATGTGTGCTGCTGTGAAGGATTTTGGTTTGAATTAGTGAGTGAAAAGGTCTGTTTGGCTACATTTGATTTAGCTGATTTTAGTTTGTTTAAAGCTTAAGAAAATGCTGATTACCTCCAAATATCTACACTTAGATAACTTAAGGAGGTGCTATGAATATTCTATCACTCAGGTTGTGACTGTATTGGTATGTGTATGCAAATGATATTCTATAATTCATAATAAAATGTATTTGTCAAACCTCCTTGGATTAAAGGACTGTAACATTCAGGCTTACCGGGTCTCCTGCGTTGTTCTTTCTGTAAGTCCATGAGCGCTTTGTTTATGAGGAAACATCACACCACATGTTGGGAGGATAAGAAATACATGTTTCTAAATCTGCTTTACATTTTCAGGGTTCTGTCAAATGTCTCGTTATCATTTGGAGATAATCAATCATTCAGTCAATCAATCTTTATTTGTTCAGCACCAATTCATAATAAATGTTTTCTACAAAAACAGCCGCTCTGCACTTTACTCTTTATTATATTTACAGAAACACAAAATTCATCCATCAGCAGACAAACATTTAGCAAAGTAACAATGGGAAGATAAAAAAATGCTTTTACAAAGAGAAACCTGGATCAGAACCAGACTCATGTTGAACAGGCAGAAGCCTGGATCAGAACCAGACTCATGTTGAACAGCAGAAGCCTGGATCAGAACCAGACTCATGTTGACCGCCACCTGCTATGACTCTGTTTGGCTTGAAAGAACGGCATAACTGGTATTACAAGGCCCAAAGTCAGACTGGCCTCTATGAATACTCATATAAGCTGCTATGATTTTATAAAGTCATAAATACAGAACACTGTGGTGTCATTCCACTTGCACGGCTGTATTCTTTACTTCAAGGTAGAAAATACTTTATTTCAGGTTGTAAAAATGTTTCTGAACATGAAATGATTACATGTGGGGTCCCCCAAGGTCTATTCTTGGCCTTCTCCTTTTTCAAACAAAATAACTGTATTCGGTCCCAAACAGGAGGGATCATGAGTCAGCGCTCATTTACCATCAATTTCACAGAGAAGCCACACATCAAGCAAGAAATCTGGGTGTTGTTTTGGAGTCTGATATAAATGTAAACATTCACATAAAAACAAGTTCAAACACGAAGAAAAGAGGAACAGATGACACAGTCTGAGTCGCTTTTATACCTCAGGGGAGACCTGGGGCGGGGCCCTCCTCGTGGATGGGCTTGGACAGGTTGTTGGTCGCTGCTGACGCCTGATTGGCACATTGGTGGACTGGTCTGCCAGACGGCCGTCAGCCAGGTCCTGGATGAGGGGGAGCAGGACGCTGCCCCGCCACCATGGTGGTGACTCTCACTCCAGAAAAAGGTTGCCATGGGAGGGCCCACCTTGGATGGGGGTGGACCGCAACATACAACTCTTTTAGTGCTGCGCAGGTTCGCAAGTGATAAATCCAATCGCAATAGCCTTAGAGGTGGACCTATACATATAGAATGCAAAGCACGGTTTGCAAACATACGCACACGGACGACTCAACACACTCACAGAACACTCCAAAAGGGATGTTAAACCACACACAGAGAAGGGGGCATGTGTGCGTTAAAATGACTGTGTATC